TTACAGGCAATATGCGTCGCCACTGTTCGATATGCTTGAAAGATTTCCTCCGTAACGGGCCATGTTGTATTAGATCCAGGAGCGAGCGTCTCTGTTTTCACCGCTTCAGGCCTTTCTTTTGCAAGGTGATCCCGGCATTGTTTATGCAGTTCCTCACAGGTTGAACTGAGCGCGGCATACACAAAAAGCCGGCAGGAAATCGCCAGAAACATTAGAAAAACTTTGCAATCCATTCTTTGTAGCGACGAGTTGTGGGTTTAGTGTATTTGGTGATTTTAGTTGCGTTAGAAATGTGCATGTGGGCGAAGAACGCGGGATTTGTGCTAGGCATATAACTACAACGATTCAGATAATGTACTCAATTGCAGATGGATATCTGCTCCGATTTTGCGCTGATATAATATAGTCCAGGAGTACTTTCTTGGTTATTTGACACACGTGTAGTCAAGGCGGGCACAAAATCAGTTACCGTAAGCAGGCAAAAATCGATATCTGGTGTACGATTTTGTGGTACGATGTCAAATGTCGATCAAAATAAATGTTACAACATAACGAAGAGTGTTATTTTCAGAAAACACGGTTCGAACGGTATTTTTCAGGCAACATTAGCCCCAGGCCGTCGATGCTGCAGCGATTGTGTAATACAACGTTATGTAATCATTCTAATTTTTAGGCGCTAATGCAGCATAACAGTTCCGCTCAGTAGCCTGCTGTAATCGAATATGGTAGACAAAACGTAATGCTATATCTGCAAAGATTCTGTAGTAATGTATGAAAGCGTGATCATGCTGCATGCAGTTTACCGACGGGTTTGGGTTTAGCGTGGAAAAGTGTGAAAACAAAATTTAGAAAGTACGATAATTATATGGCAGTCGATATGCTCGATCTTGTTTAAAACTTTAAAAATATTGCCGCGTTTCTTCAAAAGCAAACCAGTCCTATACAGTGACAGTCACCAGACGGCAGCGCCACAGATAGTTAATTTGCTGCAGCGGCGTCGGAAACGCTGGACCCAGGTTACGGAGGCCGCGAAATCTTTAATGCCCAGTTGCGATGCCACGTAAAGCGCGCAGGTCTGGATGGCCGTGACCGTCGGCTCTTCGTTACCGGCCGCGCGTTGCCCGTCCATCCATTCTAGCAATCGCGTCTCCAGCAGCGGATACCGGGGAGTGGACTTGCGCACCCGCATAACCATTAACTGTGAAGCGTCCAGTGACTTCAGTTTATCGTAATCTCTGAACGAGAAAAATTGCATTTATTATCATTTGTTGTTTACTGTACAAATAAGGGTATAAGCTTTGATAATGCATTGTGTATTCTCATTAAATGAAAATGGGTAATTAGATGGTATTAGGCGGAACTCGACGTAATTTTGAGCCTCTATAGTCTATGTAGACTGCAATCGATCTCTTTTCACCGATCGTGTTTAAGAAAATCGATAGTAACCGACCTGAGTCAGACTAGCGGTAGGTTTACCCTGTCGAAAAGATGCTGGCTTGGTGGCAACCAACCGTCAAGCTCTTATTTTGATCAAACGTAAATTTGTGCTTACCAGAGCCATCGGTGTTCCATCTTGCTGATTAAGTTAGCATTTACGGGAACAGGAATTATCTAAGCGCCTACGTTCTGCTCCTGTTGCCTGAACGCAATTAAAGATAGAGCCCCCCCTTTCTTTTGTAACTTTCAGCTACTGTATATGAATGCCCTCGTGCGACAGTACCAACCGTGAAATCATCATTACGACGCAAGTGAAATCTCCTCAACAATCTCTTCATATTATCTTTATTCTTTATTGGAATGGTATATCTTTGCTGCGCCGCTAAGATTTACGGCACCTCACCAAAAAATCCTCGATTGCCTCGTGAACGTTTTCGCACCTCGGTTCGATTCAAAAATTATTGCCTATGCAGTGCTTCCTGCAAGCATTCAGCTGTATAGACTGGCAAAATATACGTGATCACCGATATCGTATTTTTCCGCATTAACTGAATCAGGCGGCAGGGTCACGAGCTCGGTTTCTTAGGCGCTCGCATTGTCGCGCACGCAAGCATGAACAGTCCTAAAATCATGATACAGATTACATAATCGGCTATATTTAATGGCTATAATCCAGAAAGTTGCATGGTTACGGTGCGTTCATCGCAAGCCGGTTAGAAGAGCAGGCAATGACGCAACAATTCCGCGCAGTTGACATTTTCTGCTGGCAAGAAAGGGCAAAAATAGATGGAGCTTTGGGATGTTTACTGATCCCAAGCGGCTTTACCCTGCTGGCATTACAACGCCCAAGCTAAGGAAAATACACTATCTATAAAATGTTGTATCATCTGTTTAAATGTGCGGCACGATATTTTGTTTTACGGACGTCCCAAGTTTGTCAAAGCCGGATTATTACTGTTCGAATGGCAAATTAGACGAGACTTAGAGTAATGTGCGTTTTGTACAGATATATAGTTGTTCTATACGATTTTGCTCTGGGCTTCGCGCAGTTTTAGACATGTTTCGTACATTTCCTCATCAGATTTTGAAAGGGCAACAATGCTTTATAACGGTTTGTGGACGTAATATATTCTTGTTGCGGAGATAATGCTTTTGTTCCATATATAATACCAAAGATCGATCTACTTTTGCCCTTTCTTGCCAGCAGAAAATGTCAGCTGCGTGGGATTGTTGCGTCACTGCCTGTTCCTCTAACCCGTTTGCGGTGAGCGCACCGTAACTACTTCTATGCAACTTTCTGGATGATAGCCGATTACGTATTTCTACTATGATTTTGGGACCGTTCATGCTTGTGTGCTCGACGGTGTTAAAAGCACGAGCGCCTCAGAAACCGAGCACGTAACCCTGCCGCTCGATTCTGTTATTCCCGAAAAACTCGTAGTAAGTACTCGTACAATGGCGATTTACAGTGAACCAACAATTTACGCTTTGATGAGTTTTTACGCATAATTTTATCGATATTAAACCAAATAACGCCAACCTACTTGCACCACGCTGAAAAGCGCGCATGGCTGAGCTGATATTTCCTGGCAAACTGGCGCTGTGACATGACGCGCCCGTACTCCGCGTGTTCACGCCGGAACATATCCACATACTGGATCTTCTGACACGGCGAATAGGCGTTGGTGCAACGCTTCTTAGAAATGCTTATCGGTGGCATTGTGGATGATATTTGCGGTGCAGGGGAAACTGCCACCTGCATCCGCCCTAGCGGTGGTCGTAATGCTGTTGATTGCTGATTATGATGCGACGACAACGGCGGCGGCTGGGCTGCCTTTTCCGCTGGACGGCGGCATTCGTCCTCGAATATTTCGTCTAACCACAGGCAACGAAAAGGCTACTTAGCAATGCTATTACGAACATAAAAAGAACTGCTTAGGAGGCATTAAAGCGGTTGAATCTCGAATCTTACACTCTCTTGCTAGACGGATAAATGCCTCGTTTTTGTGAATATATTATAAAAAAACCTTATTTCATTCGGCTAGATCAAGACACCAAGCATTGTCTTAATGCTTAATGTTGTTTGAACTAGTTGTTTTTGCCGGTTGTTCTTTGCAAAAAATTAAAAAGGTGTACTGATATTCAAAGCAGTTTCCTTTGTCTTACCGCTAGTCTTTTTCCCAAACAAGACTTTCTTGGTTAACCGCCTAAAGTTGTGAGTGAATGAAATGGTATGTTTTAAAAATTTGGTACTATCGACATTTCCAACTAAACATTAAGATTTTCTAATTTAATTCTAATTTAACATTAAGATTTTTTAATTCTTATAGAACTGATCCTTTATACATAAGTGCGAACGTGCCACTTAGCGCTAAGGCATAGTCCTTAGCGCGTGACCGGTGGAAAACAAAGCGCCTTTGATTAAACATGAAGACAGTTAACCAAGTATGCAAAATACTCACCAAAAAGCGCATGAATATCCGGCGGTTGAGAAACGGTGCCTGTATACTGTAACATGGGATAGTGCAGACTCGTAACTTGCTGGTGGAAATCCTCCAAATCAAATCCGGGGTCGGGGCGATATGCGGGATCTATTCGGAGATACTAGATCATCTCCATTGCGATTAGCAGATTCATAAAAGTTATTCCCTAGTTTTGCCGGCTGATGACATCCCGTCACAAAAACCAGTCTTCTTACCTGCAGAGAACGAAATGGTTGACGGCATCATCTTATTAAACAACCGGAAATAACGTTACTTGCAAAATCGGCGGGGTTTCGCGGCGAAAGTCTTGCTGTGTTCGGCGCTACAGAAGAACAGACGCAAAAGAGAACAGCGCGTCTGATTGTATTGCAAGAAAATACTGGAATACGGGAGGAGCGGATGCAGCTATCGATGGTATGCGATAGAAAGCGATCCTTCTGCCTTCTCCGTCTCTCTTCCTTAACCGTGGCAGCCTGCGGCTGTCTCGCACCGGCAAGAAAGCCACTTCGAGCCAGATCCATTACTTTACGCTCGTGCAGCACCGGCACTGATTACGCAAATTAACGTCAATACAAAGACTCCGATAGGGAGAAAAGGTACACACGTTCTTCAGTCGTGGGGATCAGTTGTCTCTGTAAAAATTTCACGTTCATGCACCCATCCTTTTCTCCATAATTCCAATCAGTGACGTGGTTGAAGAACAACTATGCATCGTCCAAGAAAGTTAGACAAAGGAAACTGCTTTGAATATAGGTATACCTTTTTAATTTTTTTACGTATTTCTTTTATTCTTGCGTCGCCTGATGTTATTGCAACACAGCAGGCCATTTTTTAATGAACCAAACTGACCAAAGCTTAATTAAAACCGATAATATCGGTTTTAATTAAAAGAGTGCTGATATTTTCAACAGGTGCCACCATTTTAGCATTTGAATGCACTTTAACTAACCAAAACCGTTCCTGGGAAACATCTAGGCTAGGAATTAGGATCAGCATTCAATAAAACGCATTGTCATACAATAACTATGTGCAAACACCGTAGATGCGGTGTGCAAATATCGGAGAAGGACTAGGAGGGGATGGCTGCATTTCTTGCTCGTTGTTAGACGCTGGCAAAATGATTGCTTCATTTGCCGCAGCGGCGCCGGAAACGCTGCACCCAGGTGATGGAGGCCGTAAAATTTCGGATGCCCAGTTGCGTGGCCAAGTAACGCGCGACTGTCTGGATGGTCGTGATCGTCGGCTCATCATGACCAGCCACGAGCTGGCCGTTTATCCACTCCACCATCCGCTCCTCCAGCAGCGGATACCGGGGAGTGGGCCTGCGCACCCGTCTGACCGTCAACTGTGAAGCGTCCAGGGATTTCAGTTTGTCGTATTCCCTGAACGAAGAAATTGCATTTGTCGTTATTTGTTGTTTAACGTAAAATTAATGGTATAAACTTTGACAATGCATTGTGTTCTCAGTAAATCAGGCTTATATTAGGATAATTAGCCGTACGCTGCATAAGTTTGAGCCTCTTTACTACGATCGATCTGGTTTTCACTGATCGTGTTGAAGAGTAGAAAGTATCGATGGTTATCGACATGTGTTAGATTAGTAATATACTATCCGGTCAAAAACGTGCTGAAACACCAGCAGTGTAGTTCGTATTGGGACTAGTAAACCATAAATTTATGTTCACGAGTGCGTTCTCTAATCCATCCTGCTTATTAAGTACTTAATTATTGTTTGCGAGAACAGGAATTATCTTTATAAGCGCTTTATCTTCCTTCTTGCCTGGACGCTGTTAAAGATAAAACTATTATGTAAATACTGCATATCTCATTTAATAAAATAGGTCACAAGTTTCTTTGAGCTCCTACGATCGATCAGCTTTCCGCAAATGTTTTCAAGAGATAAAGCGTAATTGTGTTAGTGGTTTTTGTAACCGGTGTTAAATAAAGCGGCTAGGCTCACCAAACAAAAAACGGGCTGATAACCTAAGGCTGTTTGCCTGTTAAGCCTGTTAGCTGAATTTACGATTAGACTATTTTTATGGGGTCTATTAAATTAAGCAGAAATTTTCATGATCACAGGAAATGTTGTTACCGCTGATCACACGCGGGTATAATTACTACGCAGGCCTCTCGCGGTATGTAGGTATTCCCCAGGCTCATCTACTTTTGAATTTCTTGCAGAAAATGCCAGCTGCATGGGATAGTTGGATCTGGTTGTATATTACAGAACCGGCTAGTGGAAAAGCTGAAAATGTTGCCGTCCCAGCAGGCACTTTATTTGCTCCGTAACTGTCTGAGTGACCCAAAGCTACTGTATATACTACGGACAAGTCAGGCCTACGAAAGTCCGGATCTGCTGAGGGAATTTGACGAACTTATGCGCAGCACTGTCGTTTCGATCGTTAACGTAGCGGTAACTGATACGCAGTGGCTGCAGATGTGCCTTCCGGTTGGTCGCGGAGGACTGGGCATACGGCGTTCAGAGGAGCTAGCATTGTCGGCGTTTATCGCTTCGGCTACCTCGGTATCGCAGGTGTGTTCGGAAATAATCCCAGGCTACCGAATGTCAGGTCTGCAGGAAGCTACAGAGACATGGTCTGATCGGTATTTATGTGAATTGCCTGCGGAGGGAATCAGGAAATACCAGAAGAGTTGGGACTGGGCCGTGGTGGAGATGAACTACTCACGCGTACGCATGCAAGCCATTAAAAGCAGAAACGAGAAAGAAATGGCCCTACTACTGGCAGCATCGGAAAGAGAATCTGCAGCCTGGGTGCACGCTTTACCGGCGGCTTGCCTGGGAACCGTCCTTAACGATGACCAAGTGAGAATTGCTATCGGCCTGCGTTTTGGTTTGCCAGTGGTAGCTGCCCATGAATGCCGAGGGTGTGGTTTCAAAGTAACTCCGGATGGCCATCATGGTTTAGCATGCCTCTACAACCAAGGAAGATGGAGTCAACATGTGGAACTTAACTCCATCCTTGAACGTGGCTGTTTCGCGGCAGGAATTCCCTGTGAATTGGAGCCTAAAGGAATGCTGAGAGATAACGGCAAGAGGCCCGATGGTGCAACGTTGGTTCCCGTTCGGGAGGGAAAGCAACTGGTATGGGACGCCACGTGCGCAGACACTTTAGCTCAGTCGTACCTGAAAGGATCTGCCAAAGCGGCTGGAGCAGCAGCTCGTCAAGCGGAAAATCGAAATCGATATAATTATCGCTCGCTGGGAGATCAGTATTGGTTTTATCCGTTTGCTGTGGAGACGATGGGAGTCCTAGGGGAAGCTGCTAAGGAAGTGGTCAGTTTCTTTGGACGTCTGATTAGGGAAAAGACAGGCGAGATCAGATCCACGGCCTTTCTTAAACAGCGCATTAGTTTGGCTATCATGAAGGGAAATGCCGCAGCAGTTTTGGGCACTTTGCCAGGAAGGAATAGGATTGTTAATGGAGAGTTTGGTTGTTTTTTTCAATCTTAATACAACAGTGTGTACGTAGTGTTGTTGACCTACTGTGAATGTATGACGCTGTATCACAGAATATGCTATGTAGTATGTACTGTATATCTTACCGTATAATTGTACTATCTCTGGTGTGAGCCCGCCATAAGCCGAATTAACAAGACAATTCGCGAACGTTCATATACGACATTTGTATACTTTGGTTTTGCCAGCCTGCGATACTGTACCTGTGGGCTGTGATAATGATTTGGTGTTTTTTGGGTACGCTGCAATATAATATTTGCTTATCGATGACCTCACATTCTTTCCGAACCTGCGCAGCTAGGTGCTCCTTTTTTAAGCTGCTGAATAAGCAATTCAGGCTCAATAGTTTGAGCGTCACCCGTTATTTTCACGGTTGCTACGAATGGTGAATTACCATCAACCAACGGTAACGCATACTTTTATATTTTTGTTTTTGTTTTTCTGTCTAGCTGAATGCAACATATGTACCTGCACCACACCGAGAAGCGCGCGTGGCTCAGGTGGTGTCTTTTGGCAAACTGGCGCTGTGACAGGGGGCCGCTCTCCCCGCGCTCACGCCGGAACATATCCACATACTGGATCTTCTGACACGGCGCGTAGGCGTTGGTACTGCGCTTTTTTGGTACGGTGGCGGGTAACGGTGGAGCGAATCCCTGTTGCACAAGAGGTGGTCGTGGTGCCGCTGGTTGCTGATTTAGGTAAGACGACAGCGGCTGGACAGTTGTTTCTATCTTTCCAATGCAAATGCGTTTTGCAGGTGGGCGGCATGTGTCTTCGAATATTTCGTCTACCCGGGCAAAGAAATACAGTATTTGAAAATGTTGATTCGAATGCAGAACGATGAAAATGATTTTGTTGTTGCAGCGGCGTCAGCGTCATATTGGACACCGATCGGTGAAACAAGAAGTTTTTGTTAAATAGATAATTAATTACTCGTATTTCAAATGCGACAGCGTTACGCCGTTGGTAAAAAAGTTGCAATTCGGCTGGTCGGTCTGCTGTTCCAGTTTTTATTTAAATTGAAAGTAAGCAGTAGCACGTTGCAGGAACAGGAACACATCCAGTGGTTTCTTGTTGTTTACCAGCGGTGTTTAAACAAGAAACCGGTTGTTTTTTATCAAGACTTTTACAGCCAGTGTACTCACCCAAGACCGCATGAATATCCTGCGACTTTGGTACTGTGCCGGTATGTTGCAGCATAAGGTCATGCAGGCCCATTACTTCCGGCTCGAAACCGTTCAGAACAAAACCAGTGACGGGGTACAACGTGGACTCTAAAAAGAGATACAAGTTATTTACGAAGCCACTACTACTCGACCTTCTAGTGAACGAATGACCTTCTAGTGAATGTCATAGCACAGTTCCATTGCCTGTGTTTTTAAGATATGCAGCTTCCAAAAAAAAAACAAACAGTCGTGAAAAACCGAAACGAACGTAGTATTTTTGGATGAAAGTTGAGACAAACCTGGAAAGGGAGCGATAGGCGCCATCATGTTGAAAATCGGTTAGAAATGGTGTGGCCTCCGAAGTAATGCCGTTCCGTGGCGGACGTCTTTTTATTGTAGCGTGTCGCGTAAATTTCAAGTACATTACTCGTTACAGTAGCTGGCAATCCTCTTGGCGATGATCGCAACGGAAGAATCCTGACGTGATATCGAAGGGACTTGCAGCAACGGGATGCTGTGGATAGTCTTCACTGTCTCCGTTATATAAGCGTGGCAGCCTGAAAGCGGTTTCCGCTACAATGCCTGAGCCTGCCACAGTCCCGATGCGCTGCTCCCATCACTGATTACGTCGAACGACCTTCAATGCCAAGATTGCAATTATTTTTCGATGCCGGGAAGGTGCGCAGTGCGCACGTTGCAAAGACGTGTTTATATCAGCTGTCTCGGTAAAAAGATCATCTGATGCAAATGTAAGCACAGAATCCAATTCTGGAGTCCAAAATGTATGGTTTATTCAAATGAAAGAGCAAGGTATAGAAAATGCTTAACTCAAGAGCACAAACACGCACTAATCATCCAGAGATCTATTAAATATTTTGTAATTCAACCGTTCGCTCAGGCGGCTTACAGTATAACAACTGGATTATTACGCACACGGCGGCTATTTCTGCGTTCAATTAAGTTCACCGTAATGCTGCAGCGCAACACACAGGTAGACGCTCGATGGGTTAAATGGCAACGCACTGTGCGCAGTACCATCTTCTCTGAAGGCTTGAGAAACTCGATAAAAACCGCAAACTGATTTTGGAGTAATTAACTTTGAGCGATGGGTCTGCAGTCTGCTTACGGGCCAAACACTTTCCGACACCGCAAAGCAATGATGTCGCCCCATTTCCCTTTTGACCTTATCGTAGAAAAATCGACTACGAGATTATCTTCTGCAACAGACATCGCGCACATTCAGGTGCTTAACGATTTCATTTTGAAAAAACCATAAAGAATCAGCAAAGTACGGTGACGATATGGTAGCATCGTTTTATTTTCGATTGTAGTCAATAAAATATACAATAAATATTAAGAAAATAACACCGGCTTTGCCTATGCCTTATTTTGTGGTCTTCACTCGCTAACCTATAGGGATCAGACATCTGCTTGACATGATTTTGGTCTCTTTGAAGCGGTAACTGATGACTGGCTAAGCAAGTAATTTCTCAAAATTACACCAGGAGTTTTGACAAAAGTTCAATCAATTTCGCAACTTTTCTGCTTGCTCGATGGAAAAAATACGATCTGCAACAGTCTGGAATAAAAAGGAATTAAAAGGCCCATGACAATTCAGGGCTAGCTTTTCTTGGCATATGGGTTGCGCTAAAAGCCGACCCCTTTATTCAAAAATTAACTAATAGGTGCCACCATCCTGTCAGTCAGCCGGAAATGGTTGTATTTCTCCGAGACCAACGCCCTCGGCTACCTTTATCGACTCGTCGGTACAATAAGTGACAAGCCGGTTTGCCGTTCATTACAGAGAAAAGAGATCCTGGAAGATGCTGACGGTAGCCGCAGTAATGGCTAGCTCAGTTAAGTCAGTTCTATGTCTTCCTGTGTCTCTCTTATTTAGCCGTGACAGCCAGCGGCTGCCTCGCGCTGGCAAAGGAAGCCAGCGCGAGTCCGATCAGTTACACTGTATGTGCTTGCAAAGGATCTCGATCTGGTTCAATAATAGTTGATTACGTGAACTGACTTCAATAATTATTAACTACAATACGGGAGAGGAGCACACGATATACGGTACTTACAATCGTTTAAATAAACTGCATAAATAAACTGGGATACGGGCCTGATCACCGCTTTGCAGAATGGATTGTAAATTGATTATAATGTTAGTGTTAATTTCTTGCACACTGTTATAACAGAGGCAGCCATAAGTCGGCTGTCCGTGATGATCTCAGCGAGGAGGGCGGTCAGATGAAGATCCTGTCTGTTGAGGAAATTCCGAAAAATGGCGATGGAGCGGAATCGAACCGCTGGCTACCGAGTGAGATCCACGCACAACCACTGTGCCATCGCCGCTGTTGGCGAAGATCAAGATATTTGTGCTTGAGCTTGAGCCAACCAGGTAGGCGGCGGATGGGCAGCTGCTGTGTGTAAAGAGGATTCTCCTCTTACACTGTTCACGTATGTGTTGTTCAGTCAATCGTGCCAGGAACTGCATGATAAGTGCTGGAATTACATGGATGAAGAACTTGTGAGATTAATACGCTTAGTGTTGATGCCATCTGGACCCAATACAACATGGGCGATGACGGACGAAATCCCGAAAATATATCAGAACATGGGCAAAACGTACTGCCGGTTGGTTGCATTTTTGTTCAACGCAGGACTAAAAATCTACAACAACCCGTATTTTACGGCAGATAATTGATTTTTTACGTACTCATGAATCGTGATGCTTTATCCAAACATCCATTACTGATTTTAAGCATGAAAAGCACATCTTCCACGTGGTATTTGTAAATTTTTTATAAGACTGTAAAAACATTTTATAAGAATATAAAACGTATAAACGTTTTGAATCTGTTTTCCACCTGGTGCGCGTATAAATGATTTACATTTAAGCGTTTTTTTGCGAATGGTAATACATTTCGGCCAAGTTTAAAATTCCATTCTGCTATGAAAGCCGCAGCAGTTTATAGTGATAAAACTATTATTAGCAGCTGATTCGGCTACGGAATATTATAAAATTATGGAAAAGAGAATTTCGCTTTCGGGCATATCCTCGGAGTTATATACTGAAGTCAACCCGTCACCCAGTCCTGTCAACGTTGAACCACAATGTCCGACTTTGGATCACAATCATCACACCATCAATTCCCGTCCTATGAGATGTGTTTATTAAAAATATGCGTTAATTTTAATTTTTATGTGTCGGTTGATAATGGCACAAAGCCGATACTTCCGATATTTGCACAAAGCTTGTCGACTTCGAATTTAATTGCA